AAAAAAAAAAAAAAAAAAAAAAAAAAAAAAAAAAGCATTAAAGTTTTTAAAAATTGTGGCATTTTGTGCTAGGGATCAAGTGGCTCTGGGTTGGTGGCGGGGTGCCAAGGATGGCAAGAGACAGAAAGCTGAGGCCAGCGGGGCCGTCTCAGGTTTAGAAGGAAGGGAGCTGCTCAGCCGCCGCAGTGTGTGCCTTGACCCACTTAGAGTGCGGGCCTCCAGGAAACCCCTGTGCCTACAGCCAGCTGGCCTCAGGACAGAGTTCTTGGGTGGGAGCAGTGTCGCCGGTGCTTCGTGTCCTCAGGGTGTTCCCCCCCCCCAGCACCCAGCAGTTCTGTTTGTTTTTGGACAGAGTTTCCCCATATAGTTCAGGCTAGTTTTAAATTCTCATTGAGCCCAAGGTGACCCTCCTGCTTCAGCCTCCAGTGCTGGGAGCACAGTCATGTGCCACCACACCTGGCTTTTATTTTATTTATTTATTTTTGCAGCCCCAGGGATTGAACTCAGGCCCTTCCACTTACCAGGAAAGCACTTATTCTACTGAGCCATCCATCTCCCTGGCCCCTGGCTTTTATTTTTATTTATTTATTTTTATACATATTTTTATTTTTTTCTGGTACCAGGGATTGAGCTCAGGACCTTGAGCTTGCCAGGCAAGCACTTATTCCACTGAGCTATCTCCTGGGCCCTTATTTATTTTTTTAAAGTCTATCTTACAAGTCAATTTTAAAGTTCTCTTCCTTTTTCCTGCTCAGATGAAAATTCTAATTATAAGGTTTTATGAAACTGCTCAAAATTTTGTTGTACATATTTATTGTGCAGTAAACACATAATTTAAATTTCGCATTGTAAAGAATATGGGCAGACCCTCATCATTCAAATTAAAAGGGTTCTGTGTGACAGCTGTGGTAGTAGCGCTCTGCCTTTATTTTTTATTTGTAAAAATTTTTTTTGTGGAACTGGGAATTGAACTCAGCACCTTGCGCTTGCTAGGCAAGCTCTTACTCAGCTGAGCTACCTCCCGGCCCCTCTGGCTTTATTTTTTGAAGCGACTTGAGCCTTCTGCAGAAGGTGGAAGTCCCTTCTCCAAAGGCAGACGCTCGTGTGTCTGTGCGGAAACCGGCACCTCTGAGGCTCCTTCTCTTCCTCCATACGCGAGTACCTGGGGCCTGGAAGGTGCGGGAGACGGACAGCAGGGGAGAGAAGACCAACACTGTCTGCACTGCGGGGTTTGCCTTCCAGTTGCAGGGAAACAAAGTGAACAAGTCCGTAAAAGTACACCGGGTGCTCTAGGTGCCGCGGAGGGCTGGGAGTTCAAGCCCGTCCTGAACGGGCAAGACCCTCTTTTAAAAAACAAAAGAGAACAACCCCCCAAACAAACAAAAAGACTCATTCGATGGGAGAGAGGTCTGCAGGCGGTGGAGAAGCCCTGATAGAAGCATGTGTGCGGAGAACATTTCAGGCTAAGGCAGCAGCGCAGGGGTCAAACGGAGGGCCACGCCCAGTGTGCTCGGAGCAGGTCGCGCGGCCGGCGGCAGGTGGAAGCGGGAGGTGCCATGGGAAGCGGGGAGGGCAGGCGATCACACGGCTCTCGTAGGCCGAGGAGAGCCTGGCTTTCTCTATAAGGCAGGTTTTCTAAGGAGAGACAATCTGCTGTCCATTTTAAAAACACCACTGGAGCTGGGCGTGGCGGCACACACCCGCAATCCCAGCTTCTGCTGAGTCCTGACCAGAGGATCGCGTTGGAGGCCAGACTGAGGAGCCTACCAAGACGCTGTCTCAAACAGTGGGCCTAGAAAGCAGCAGCCCTGGCTCAGGCCCCAGCACTGCAGCATATGGACACGGGAGGGGAGCGCCCTTCCTGCTGCCAGGCTGAGCGGGCTGGGGGCGCGCCGGGCGCAGAATCGGGCTGTTCCTGGGCTGCTGTCCCTGCTCCTTCAGAGCGTGCTTACAGAGCCCCTACATGGCTTCCCCAGTAGAAGCAGGGTCTAGAGGTCTCTGCCCGGTGTGAGCGTAACAAAATAAGCAGTGGGTTGAGTTATATTCACCGGGAATCAGGAGCATTTTGGGGTGCCCTCCTCCTATCACGGGATCTCTGTGTCAGAGTCTGGCAGGGGCTGGTGGCCTGCCTCAGCCTCCTATGGGGACAGCTCCTCCTGGCATCCCATATGTGTCCAAGGGGTTTCACAAAACCTTAGGATCCTGATTGGCAGGGCAGGGTCAGATACATACTTTGTGGTAAATCCAGTTAATCTATAAATTTAGTGGTTTGACAGAGGCTTACTTTACAGTCAAAGGAATCCTTGTATTTGTGTTTTTGCAAGAAAATAATGGCTGCTAAAAAATAACAGCTGCCTAGTTCTTTCTCTGGTTTTTAGGGAAAAGTTACAAGTTCTGCTAAACTGCATCTAATACAAGCAGAGGACCTTGGTGAGTGCGCTAGGCGGAGCTGAACTGCGCCCACCTGTTACAGCCGCAGGAAATCCAGACCTTGTCCTCTTTCCTTGTAGGTAGAGGAAGTCTTCAAGAAGTCACCCTTCCTGGTTCCTGACGACAGCGTCAGCATTATGGATGGCTCCAACGAAGGTGGGAGGGCTGGGGAGGAAGCGGGGCAGAAATAACAGAGAATGCCAGACCCCATGAAAGAGCTGGAAGCTGGGACGGGCCCCTAGAGGAAAAGGAACTCAATAAGGAGAAGCAGGGGAAATAGAGCTGTGTGGGGAATTTAGGAGAACAAAGGTTGAACCGGGAAGAAAATGTTCTAGAGTATAATCCTTGCCTTTCTCTCTTTTAGGCATATTAGCTTGGATTACTGTGAACTTTCTAACAGGTAATTATGTCTTCAAGTTTGTGTGAAGACCTTACGTGGCTGGCTGTGGTGGCATACGCTGTTATCTCAGCACTAGCAGGGCAGGAAGAGTGTACATTTGAGACCATCCTGCACTCCATCTAAGACCCTGTGTGTCTCAAGATGGGAGAGGAAGAAGAGGACCTTATCTGGCATGACCAGAAAGTAAAAATTCCTTTTTCTTTTCCTGTACTTTATTATTATTATTTTTTTTTTTTGGCAGAACTGGGAATTGAACTCAGGCCCTTGCACTTGCCAGGCAAGCGCTTACTCTACTGAGCCACCTCCCCAGTCCTATGTACTTTACTCTTGTACTTCAGTGAAAAAAGTAAGAAGCTGGGCATGGTGGAACACGCCTGTAATCCCAGCACTTGGGAATTCTAAGCCAGCCTGTACCACATAGCAAGACCCATCTCAAAAAACACAGGGAAAGAGCAGAGTATGGTGTTGCCAGCCTGTAGTTCACTGCTGGGAGGCTAAGGTAGAAGAAGTGCAAGCTCAGGGCCAGGTTTGCGGGCGGGGTGGTGGACGCTGCAATCCCAGCATGGTGGGAGGGGACAGCATGGCCTGGAGTTCACAGCACTGTGGGCTGTGTAGTGATTCAAGGCCAGCCTAGACTATTTAGTGAGACCTTGTCTCAAACAATCAAGGCCAGCCTTGGCAATTTAGTGAGGTCCTATCTTTAGAAGGGGCCTGGCGATGTAACTCAGTGATAGAGTACATCAGGGTTCAACTCCGCAGTACTATAAAAAATAACAATAAATAAAAATTTAAATTTAAAAAAAAACTAGAAAAGCAAGCTAATCTTTCTCCTGTCCTCACGTGCACCAGGAGTCCTCCCGTCTCACCGCTCCCTGCAGCCTTTGGGCCAGGGAGCAGTGTGCATTTCATGTTTTCAGGAGCGGGAGAGAATCGCAGGGTAGTGGGCACTGGGCTCCACAGGTGGGGGACCTTCTGAGCCTTGTGTTGGCAGGTCAGCTGCAGAGCCGTGGGCAGAGGACCATGGGGACCCTGGACCTGGGAGGGGCCTCCACCCAGATCACATTCCTGCCGCAGCTTGAGGTGCGTCACTCCCTGAAGGTCTGGTCAGCAGCATGTGTGGCAGGCCTGTCCTGGCGTCAGAGGCGCTGCCGCACGCTCTGGGAAGGGCTGAGTCATGGTGACTGGCAGGCTTCCCTGCCCTCTCACTGAACAAACCTGGGAGGCGGGCGGCGTAAGCTATCTCCAGCTCTGGGTTGTTTGGGGGACAGGGATGGTGGTGATGAGAGCTTCAGGTAATTACATATCCTGAACAGTCTTTTTGCTTTTTCTGCCTTGCAGAAAACCCTGGAACAAACCCCTGGGGGCTACCTCACTTCCTTTGAGATGTTTAACAGCACTTACAAGCTGTATACACATAGGTGAGGAAGTGGGCAGGGAAGATTTCACACTGCTGAGCTGCCAACTTTGCAGAGCATTTCAGACTGGTTATCTGGGAGCGATTCTTTTCTTTTTGCTGGCTCAGGCTGCCTTAAGGGTGGGTCTGGTGCAACCTTGGTGCTGGGGATCGAACCACAGTCCCTTGCTCCTGACTGATTTTGCTCAAGAAGGCACTTTAGACGACTGAACTAACCGGCCACCCCACCCCCTTCCCCCATTACTGCATTTGGCATCTTTGCCACTTGTGGAAACCCATGGCGCTGACCAGCCCAAGGGCCTAAGAGGCTTCTGCCTTCCTGAGCTCAGAAATTTTTATTGGGAGAGCTAAACATTGTTTTCAGAGGGAGGAACACACGGAGAAGGCTCAGCCAGAGCGCCCTAACCTCTGCTGGAATTCGAACCAGTTGGATAATGAGGGCTTTTCTGGGGGTGGTTGGGGTGGGACAACTCTAGGAAGGATCATGGTTGCTGGTTTTTGAATCAAACCTGTGGGCAGGGCCAGCCAGATAGTTCAGCGGACTAAAGTGCCTGCTTAGGCAGACGCAGGGGCGGAGTTTTTTCCCCACCATGCTGTGCTTAGGCAGCGATTGAGACTGGTGGTGGCGCATGCCTGTAATCCCTGCACTTGGGAGGCTGAAAACAGGAGAATCCCTATGAGTCCGATCTAGGGAGTGAGACTCTGTGGACCCTGAACTAAATGCATTTTTTAAAAAAAACAAAAAACCTGTGGGCAGCTCTTCGTGGGCAGCCTTACGTCAAAAGTGCAGACATTTCCTGAGATGAGGAAAGCACAGAGAGAACAAGTTCTTCCGGGAGATGTAGCTGAGGGCTGGAGAACTTGAGGACGAGCACGACGTTGGTGCCCTGTGTTTTACAGTTACCTAGGACTTGGACTGAAAGCTGCAAGACTTGCGACCCTGGGAGCCCTGGAGACAGAAGGTTTGCATGGGTCCCTCTGCCGGTGACGAGGGGACACTGGTCCTCAGTTTGTTGTTTCCTTCCTTGGCCATGATTCTGTAGAGGAAAGATTGATGTTGAATTAGGAAGCCTGTGCTATGTAATGGACATACAAGTTGCAAATTCCTTATCTATCTTAGAAGATCAAGTGCTTTGTTATGTATTAGCCATTTTTATATGTTATATATTAGCCATTATATGTTATGTATTAGCCATTTTTATAATGAAATTTACTTGGACAAGAGCAACAGCTAGGAGCCCGAGGCCTCTGGAGAAAATCAGATCTCATTGGATTTGTTTTATTTATTTATTTATTTATTGTGTGTGTGTGTGTGTGGCCAGCTCAGCCCACCAGGGGGCGGGGCTGGCTGGCATGTGGTGCTGGGGATTGAACCGCGGTCGCTGTCCTTTTGCTTAGCTTAGCTTGTTGTAAGTAGGTGCTTTAGACCACTGAGCCATCTCACCAGCCAGATCTCATTGGATTTGGCAGGAGCTAGCACAAGCCCTTAGCCTCACGTGGGCAGGACAGGAAGCAAAGGCTTTGCCTGGCATGGGGGCACGTGGGAGGCTGAGGCGGGAGGATGGCTCAAGGCACTGGGGGCTGCATTGTGATCCAAGGCCAACCTGGAATGTTTAGGGAGACCCTGTCTCAAACAATCAAGGCCAGCCTTGGCAGTGTAGTGAGGTTGGGGATGTAGCTCAGTTGTAGAGTATCTGAAAGGGTAGAATAACCGAGTGACTATCCATCCCTTCATAGTTGGGGGCTGGCAGAACTGGATACAACCCCAGTTTTGTGACTTGGGCCAAGTTAATTGACCTATGCTGTCACCTTAGGTGACGTTGCATTTGATGGACTTGGTGTGCCACCTGGCTCACAGTGAGCCATGCATGGGCTGGACATTAAATCGTGCTTCATAGTTTTCCAAACATCTTCATGTGTATTTCTTTATTTTATTTTATTGAGAAATATGAATGAGACAGTTTCAAAGCTGATTAATAGGACAATTTCAATGATCAGTGCAGTGTACATTGCTATCTTCTTAGTGGTTATCCTCGTACAAGAAGCAGACAGGATAGCCTGGGCAAACTTCATGTATTTCATGTAAGCCTCTTGGCTACTACTGAAGAAAGCACAGTGTTTAACCCACTGTAGGCAGGAGGAAGCTTTGTGGGGCTTTGAATTCATTGAGATGTAATGAAAACTATAAACCCCACTGCCGGAGTCACATGTATACAACATGTGCCTGTAGTTTTGGGGTCTACCAACTGCACAGGCCTACAAACCCTGAGTTAAAAGTTCCTGTCCAACCAGGTGTGGTGTAATCCCAGCACTGGGGAGGCTGAGGCAGGAGGATTGTTGTGAGTTTGAGACCAGCCTGTGATACAAAGTGAGCTCAAGGCCAGCCTCAGCTGCATAGCAAGACCCTGTTTCAGAAAGACAAAATAATAATAATTCCTGTACAGAAAAAGTATTGCTGTCACAGAATGCAGTTAAGGAGCTGATTTCATAAGATTTTAAGGCTTTGCGCTCTCAGCGATCGCTTTCAGCCTTTCAGACATCTCTCGCTGTGTCTCTCTGTGTCCCTGTCGCTGTCTCACCTGCCCCTTTTCTCTCTGGCTGCTTCTAGGGGTGGAGGGACACACTTTCCGAAGTGCCTGCCTGCCAAGATGGCTGGAAGCAGAGTGGATCTTCGGGGGTGTGAAATACCAGTATGGTGGCAACCGCGAGGGTGAGTGGTGCTTTCATGGCCTTTCTGTAGAAGCTCTTCGAAGTCCCTCAAGCAGCGCTCTGGTCCTCGGGACAGCTCCTCATGTCGTGGGCACTCAGTCCAGAGAGCTTGGATGGGCCAGGGACTGGCAGGGAACAGCAGACACTGCATCTGGCACTCTGCAGCCTGCTTTCTGTTTCCTGGGGGACTGTCACAGTCCCTTAGAAACCTGCTGGTAGCCTGAAGCTCATGCAGCAGCCTGAAACCCTTGCAGGTTCTGTTTATGTTTAGTATTTCAATCATGGTCAAAACTTAAAATTGAGACGACAGGGAGAATGATTCATCTTGGCTGTTACTAGAGACATACACCTTCAAAGCACAGAAGAAATTTCGCTTCCCAATGGAGGAAGCAGGCAAGCCCTCCCGGTGCGCGCTTGCAGGAATGGGCATGCAGCGGTGTGAGCAGGGCTGCCGGTGATCGTGGCTTAGTGGCGCCGTTGCCCCAGCTACTCACCCTGTGGATGGTCAGCCCTGTGGTTCTACGCATCACCCACCTCCTCAGTCCTCCTGCTGCCCGGCCCCAGCCGCTTCCTCAGAGGCGAGGCCCTGGCCCTGTCTGCTCAGTGTGTGCTTTTGCCCTGGCAGGGGCGGCGGGCTTTGAGCCCTGCTATGCTGAAGTGCTGCGGGTGGTGCAAGGAAAGCTTCACCAGCCGGAGGAGGTCCGCGCAGGCTCCTTCTACGCCTTCTCCTACTATTATGACCGAGCTGTTGAGACAGACCTGATTGGTGAGTGCACCCAGCCAGGGGCTCGGGAGGCCTGTGGGGACAATTGGGACTCGGCGTCTTTGGGCACTAGGTGACCTGAACAAGTGTACATGGAGCCTTTCCCTTTTTTTAATTTTACACCTTTATCGAAGTATGAATGACACACAATAAATGCACGTTTATACTGTAGTTGCCAAGTTTTGTCACCTACATATACCCCTGAAAGCATTGCCACATTCAAGATAATGAGCAACCAATCTGTCATCTTAAGCAATTTCCTCCTGCCTTTTAGGAGTGCTTTCTCCTTCTCACCAAAATTATGCTTTTGTTTAGCTGGGAGAGTATGTGGACCTGGCCTCTCATGGCCTGAGAAATGTGAATTAGTTTATTTATTGTTTTTATGAGCCTACTTATTGTAGTTAAATATTCTATAATGTAAAATGGGTAAGTTGGGCCTGCGAGCTAGCTCAGCGCTCAGCGTCTACAGCGCCTGCTTAAGCACAGGGACTGCAGTTTACTCCCCTGCACCACATGCTGTGCTGGCCCCATCCCCGGGCAGGCTGAGCAGGCCACAGAAAGACAAAACGCTCATTACTGGTAAATATAAGGGTCGGCTAAATGGCTCCAACTTCAGACTGGGCGTGGTGGGGCGCGCCTGTAATCCCAGCTCCTGGGAAGCTGTAAACAGGCGGATCACTAAGGTCCGATCTAGTAGTGAGACCCTGAACACCCTGTAGATCCTTCCCTAAACTACAAAAAGAAAAAAAAGTAAACATATAAAATAAGCGCTATCGATTTGTGCTGTATGGATACATGTTTGTGCATTCCAATCATTAATGTTGGAATTTTTATTTCCCTTTATTATTATAAATATCATTAGCATAAGGTTCCTTGTTGTCTTGAAGGCTTTTCTTTCTTTCTTTTTTTGGCAGAGCCAGGGATTGAACTCAGGCCCTTGTGCTTGCCAGGGAAGCACTTATTCTACTGAGCCATCTCCCCGGCCCCTTGAAGACTTTCTGACATCAATTACTGTTCTGCTTTTTTTTCAGATTATGAAAAGGGAGGTGTTTTAAAAGTTGAAGACTTTGAAAGAAAAGCCAGGGAAGGTGAGTGTCAGGAAGCCCTTGAAAGGCAGGCTGCAAGGGGCACCACCCACTTGGGGCCTGGGCTGAGGGCTGTAAGCATCTGATGGCTCATGGGCTCCACGATGGATCCAGGAGGCTCTGGGGAAATGGGCAACACTGCCTTTCTATAGTTCCTCCTTTTCTTTTTTTTTTCTTTTGTGGTACCGGGGATTGAACTCAGGCTTTTGCCAGGCAAGAGCTTATTCTACTGAGCCATCTCCCTGGCCTCCTCCTTTTCTTTTGAGATAAGGTCTCACTATGTAGCCCAGGCCGGCCTTGAAGTAGAAGCAGCTCTCCTGCCTCAGCCTCCATAGTGCTAGGGTTACAGGTGGGCGCCACCATGCCCAGCTTCTTCCTTGCTTTTCAGTTGAAATATTATCATCAGTGTGTCTACGGCCATGCCACCCTGAACGCGCCCGATCTCGTCTGATCTCGGAAGCTAAGCAGGGCCGGGCCTGGTTAGTACTTGGATGGGAGGCTGTCATCAGTGTGTAATGCCAAGCACCAAGTACGCGGACACAGCCTCAAGGGCTTCCTGAGCGGGTCACTCCAGTAGGACAGAAGTGATCTTAATCCCATGGCCTCACGCAGGGCATAGGTGGTGCTGCCCTGTCTTCTGGACCTCCACATTAGTGATACACAAGGAACTTAAAACTAAGCCCTACCAGCTTGTCCTAGAAACTGGGCAGGTAGGGTTAGGGCTGCAGCTCCGCCCAGAGGCTTGCTTGGATGCGCAGGGCCCTTGGCTTGCTCCTCAGCCCACCCTCCAGCAGAGAAGAGGCTTCGTGAATGCCCTAGGACCCAGGTACAGGAGTTGAGGTTTTACCAGGCTTGTGCAGGTTCTTTTTTTTTTTTTTTTTTTTTTTTTTCTTTTTGAGACAGGGTCTCGCTGTGCAGCTCAGGTGAGCCTTGAGCTCATTTGTAGCCCAGGCTAGTCTCAAACTTGGAACAGTCGATCCTCTTGCCGCAGTCTCCCGAGTGCTGGGGTTACAGGTGCACAGCTTGTGCAGGCTCTTAAGGAGCTGTGGTCCTGCAGAGGCAGTCAGTGCACAGCGTGACCTCCCAGAATCCCAGGCACTGACCAGCACAGAATCCCGCTGCACATGTCTGTGTCCATCTTCAGAGAAAGCCTTGCCTCTCCCAGCTCGCTGCACACTTAACTCAGCTGCGCATTACTGTCACTTTCAGTGTGTGACAACATGGAGAAGTTCACTTCAGGCAGTCCTTTCCTGTGCATGGATCTCAGCTACATCACAGCCCTGTTAAAAGATGGCTTCGGCTTTGCAGACAGCACCATCTTACAGGTATGAGACAGGTCACTGTGTCCTCTGGCAACAGTCTTCTTTTGTTGATATTTTTTTTTTGGTGGAACCGGGGATTGAACTCAGGTCCTTGCACTTGCCAGGGAAGCGCTTATCCTACTGAGCCATCTCCCCAGCCCCCTTTTGTTGATATTTGATAAGCATGAAGAACTTGCTTAGTGATCAGAATAGCTGTAGGTGGAGGCCTTATGTTCAGGGGAGGC